CACAGTATAAAAAAGATTGCATGTCTCATTATTTGCCTTGTGGAAATGTGGTACAAAAAGGTAAAGTTTTGCTTCAGTTCTCTTTATTTAAAAAATTTTTTATTATTTCATCAAGGTTAACATATATTATGATATTTCGAGTCACTATATACAATTCCAAAAGATGTTGTGTGACATTACAAATAAAGGTACAGTTGTGGTAAAATCAAATAGGGTGCTCTTTAATATACAAAAAAATCAACCCAATAAAAATTTTTTTTTTATATTATGAGTGATATCGAGAAACGGTTGGATAAGACGTTTTCAAAAAACAGTGTAGAGTAAGAGAAAACAAAAAAATATCTACAATAATAAATGTATAACATAGAATGATTTAAATGTAACATAATTCAATATAACATTGATGTAACTGTCCACCTCGTAAACTACTTGTGTTCAAAAAGTGTTAATTGATAATTAAATTTATTATTACTTAGACAAAAATTTATAAAACAGAATAGATAATAAACTGTGAAGATAAAGTGTGGACAAATATAAAAATAACAGGTATCTAAGAAAAATTTCAATTTTTTGATGAAGAAAGGTAGGAGATTAGCTCTTCTTGACCCTATTATGAAGTTATCTAACAAAAAGTTTTCAATTAATATGGCAGTTGGGATAGGGCTAAGGGTGAGTAACTTATAGAAACCTTATGATGAAGTATTTTAAGATTACATTTTAAGTTCTTGTGGAGAGAATGCGATGGGCTCTGGTATTGACAAAATACCTTATATGTATCCTTCTATAACATTTTTTCACAAAAAAATTCTAAGTTATTATGGAAGCTAAGGAGGATCTGTACATGAGACACTTAAAATTCGGAGTTTGTGTGGGAGAGGCGTATGAAGGAGGCTCACACATTTGTTGTTGGGTAAAAGTCACGGTGAAATGTGGAGAATTTTCGTTCATTTCTAAAATGGGGTGTGGGGTGACCATAGGGGTTGTGGGGGAAGGTCCAAAAACATAACTATAACATATTTTTCTTGGACTATTATGAGCTTCTGTGAGGAATAATGGGGCAGTATGCTGAGAAAAAACAATCTTAGAATCCTTAAAATAAAAATGAAATTGAAAGAATTGTAGCCTCCCTCCTTCCGAAAATCAGGTGATTTATCACCTGATAAATCACCTGACAAATCACCTGATTTCTCATGCCAAAATCTCATGTGGACTTTAAAAAAAAATGACATGTTGGATAAATTATTTAAGTCCAGCATGAAAAATTTTTATTTTGACTTATTAATACCTAGTGATTTTTNCACCCTTTAAATGTTTGAAATTTTTGTAGTTAGAGGATCTTAGATTTTTGTAGTGAAGCAATTATTTTTCCGTCACTACTACTTTGACTTCGTTATCAATTACCTTTCTAAAAAAATCACTAGGTATTAATAAGTCAAAATAAAAATTTTTCATGCTGGACTTAAATAATTTATCCAACATGTCATTTTTTTTTAAAGTCCACATGAGATTTTGGCATGAGAAATCAGGTGATTTGTCAGGTGATTTATCAGGTGATAAATCACCTGATTTTCGGAAGGAGGGCTAATTTTTGGAGATTCGGGTGTAAAAAGGCCGCTTTACTTGCAAGGGAGTGTAAGGGGTAATTGGGGGTGTTAGGATTTTACACATTTTTTGTATGGTAAAGTTTAGCGAGAAATACAGAGAATTTTCTCTTTCCCTGGATATAGTTCTCTCTTGTCAGGATAAGCAATGAGGGGTGGTACTTCTACACAGTGGGTATACATATATATATATATATATACGGAAAAAGAGAAAGAAGTGGTTAAATTTATAGGAAAAAGTATACTTAACGTGCAAGTCAAATAGAACAACGACAGAAGAGTGCGCCTTCTCATAGAAGGTGTGAAGTTATGAGAACTGAAGTTTACCACAGTATACGTAAGGTTTATTTGTAACAAAGCTCGAGGATCAAGACACCAACTACGCGCGTACATTTCCCAAGTATATCCTTGAGCGCAATCGCTGTTAATTTAACAATGAATTGGATCTACAAGTATCAGTAAGTTATTTTATGATATTTACTAAATCCATATGTTGAAGTAGTGCCATTTGGCATTAAATCCTTTTTATGACACAACTAATGCTTATATTACTATGAAAAGAATCTTATCATAGGGAACAAGTCTATGGTCGTCATTAGTTCGAACTTCCACAAAAGATTGTTGTAGTACATGGCTACTTTTTTAGATAATGTTTAAAGTAAGGCTAATAAATTATTAAGAAAAAATACTCGTAGCTTTGTCTACACAATATGTGGATTAAATAACAGTGCACACTATAATTCAAACTGGTTTATTTTTGTTGTCTATTTTTAGTAACCCATGCGATTTTGCTAAGTCCGTAATATTATTGTTGGCATTCAGTGTATGAAAACTAAAATTAAGGTCACATGTACCTATATTAATATATTTACTAATAAGTTTATAAACAGAATTTCTCAACGTATGTAATTGACGATTCTTAAATAATTTGTAATACTTAGTATCTAATAACATTTCTAGAAATTTTTCAATAAATACCTCTCTTAACGTCTAGAACTTTTCATATAAATATATTTCTTATTGTCTAATTTTACACCTCTTTGAGGGGCTTTCGCAAATAGATTATGATTACTATTTTTTCATATAATGATCCATCAACTTAATATTGAGGTTAAAAAGATGGTTGGTGCACCCTTGTGAACTAATGGTGGGAGGTGGCAGAGGGACAATTAAAAGTTTGTGGCCTGCCCCACAAAAATAACCATATTATATGGGTGTTTATATATGTCCCTGTACATTGTCCACCGTCCGAATATACATATATATATCCTTATACTATATAGTTGAATTGACGAAAGTAAGTCTCGGCCCCCCCTGCCTCCTGCTTCACCCTACAACCCCTCAGCTCCCCCTTAGCTTTCCCTCGATTCACATAGTTATTTGCTTGTATTTACGTCATTTTTGATCAAATTATATTTAAGTGACCTACCCTACGCTCACCCCACTCCTCCTTAGCTCCTCCTTACTTCCCCTCCACCTCCCCCCAAAAAGTACTTATTTATAGAATATTTTACCATCTGAAATGTTAAAAAATGCATGTAATTTAATACCCAAGTCATACCTCGTTTTTAGGGTTTTTCAAGTCACTGACCATAGGTCCCCCTCTGTCTATTCTCTTTCCCTTACTCACTATATGTTTCTGAAGGACCATTTTTTGTTTAACTTGATTGAACTTTTACGTTTGGAATCTCTTTCTGGTCCATGTGTACTTTACCCAAATATAAAATTCTTGATTAACTCAGGACTTTATTGACAAAAAGATAGAATTTAGGAAAAGGTTTAATTCAATAGACAAACACAATGAAGCTTTTGAAACAATAATTCATTCTGTTAATTTAATGTTTTGACATTTCATGTGTCGTTTGAACCCATCTGTTATTTAAAAACCCTTTCCACATTTTTTACATATTTTTTTTCATGGATCTTATGAACTAACATATGTTTGTTTAAATGAGATGATCTTTGAAATTACATATTTTTGAATTACTGAAAAATTTCTTGCTAAACAATATTTCTAACTTCCGAATTATTCTCGGAATCAATTTGAATAAAAATTTTTTCGGATTCTTACATCTTGATAAAGTAACGTATAATTGTCTGTGAGAGAATAAAGGTTTTTAATATACAATACTAATGAATCAAAACTCTGTCCTTGTGATTTGTTGATAAACATAGAAAATGCTAATACAAAGGGAAACTGTTTTCTGTAAAAGACAAAAGGTAATGATAATGAGGCGCCAGTATTCAATGTTATTCTAGGAATATAAACTTTGCTTCCTTTTTTTCTCCCGTTACTATTTCTGCTTCTATATTATACTTCAATAATTTTATTATTTTCAATCTTGTGGCATCATAGAAACCGTCTGATAAACTTAAATTTCTTATTGAAACTACTATACGATTTATTTTTAACATCAGTTTGTGTGGTGGAAGACCTTCTCTGATATTATTTCAGAATTCTATTGGAAAATTAATATTTATGTTATTAACTGTTTTATCAACTCCTTTGTGAGTCACGTATTCTGTTGTTGTGAACTCATTCTCAGCCAGCATTGATAATTACACGAGTAATGTCGTTATTTTGTCTACTCAATCTGTGAGTGGGGGGTTGGCGCACGGAACGCGCAGGGGGGCGTTAGACCCACTACTATATATATATATATATATACATATATATGGGTGTGTGTGTGCGTGCGTGCATGTTTGTTTATCAAAGGTGACTTATGCTTAGATTATTGTAAAAAAAAATTGCAGGGTTATTATGCGGACAAAATTATAGTTTTTCATACTGTCCCATTCCTTTAAAATGTTATAGTTATATACCCTAATAGGGCGTAGTGTTCACATTAGTCACTTTTAAAAATAACACACACACACCCACACACGCACCCCCACAAATACACACACACACACGTTTGTGTATATATGTTGTACGCTTAACTTAAAACCTACAGTTATCTTCTGCCAAAGCAATAATGCTTGAGTATTTATGTCAATTTTTTTCGTAAAAGACGTGTGGATTTCATACAATAACAGTGCCAAATATGACTCGTGTTAGAGGGTATACATTTTGAATATATATCTTAGCAAGTACAGTTTTTTTGAGTCAAAATCTAATACAACAAAAGTTTCACGGTAATAATATTTACTCAAAATTAAGACTGTACTACAAATTTTAAACTATATCTTACAATGAAAATAATTAGAATAAAAGTGTTGTTAGAATGCGATATTTCTTATTATTAGGAATGATTTGTTGTTCTTAGTTTAGTTTGTGAAACAAGAGTTTATTTCCTATAACAACCATGGAGCAGTATCATTTTTTAACCTTCCTTAATAAAATATTATTAATAATGTAAGGAAATCATTTTTGTTTTAAATGTAGTTAAACTTTATTACCATGTACAGGCTGAGCCTCAGAAAGAATGTAGATAGATTCCTTCTATTATCTGTGTACACCCTCCAAATAAGCCACTTTAACTGTATAGAAACTCCTACTTTCTCAAATTCACTAGTTGATAATAAGCCTGCACAAAAATTTGGATGTAGCATATCATTTCTAGATTGTTCAGCAGAAAATTTATTAATTGCTTGGATAATTTGTCGACTGTATGATGAGTTTTCAAACTTGTCACAAATCCATTCGATCTGTAAAATAAATAGAAAACTTTTTGAATTTACCACAAATTTATTTAATTTGTAAAAAAAATGTAGCATTGATTGAGCAAGTTATTCATTTCGTCAAACAGAAAGGTAAATTATGGCTTACAGTTATAACTTCTTTTGAGTAATCAAAATATATTATTTAGTACCGCTACTTAAAAAGTGAGACATTTTTGGTTAAATTTGTAACATACGCAGAAGAAAAGTTTTTTTACTTGAAGCTTATTAATGCTACTTTTTATTAGAGTCTATAATTTGATGTTTTTAATTGGTTATTGCAAAGTTTCTTAGAAAGATTGTGTAAAAGGGTTTTAGAATATCAAATATACTCAGATATACGAATCAGTAAGATAATAACTTTCAAGTGAAATAAGCAAGTAATAAAAAAAAATTATGTTGTTTTATCTTTTAAAAAATAGATGTAAATAGATAGTTCATCATTAAAGTAACAATACCACATTGTACATTTTAATAACTAAACTGAATTTGAGTAGATATTTAGAAAATATATAACGTTTTCTAATACTTTCCATTTTATAATACAACGGTCTCCAAAAGCTTTTTTCACATCATTTGTACATAGATGGAACAAGTATGAGTGGTATTATACATAAGGTCCTAATATTAAGTACCAAAAAATTTTTTTAAGATGAGAAATCAATGTACTTTAATGATCTACGAGATATTATAACATCATTGATTCAGAACAAATGTTTGAGAAGCACTTTAACCCTTGCTCACTAGCCTATTCTTAACGTAGCTATGGTATACATTGACCCTAGAATAGTATAAAATAGTTATTTAGGTAGCAAGTGCAGAAAAGACGATTTCCTGCACGACTCGTGCTACGCACTCGTGTAGCACTCGCTCCCGTCAACTCCGGCCACTCGTGCGAGTCTATCCCATGAGTGCGGGAAATCGTCCCGCACGAGTTGCGTACAAGTTTTTTCTGCCCTCGGATGGTTTTGGGAGGCTGGTACTTCCTCGGGCAAAAAAGTAGTTTTCCGATACTCGTTCGAAAAGTCTCCTTTCCGAACTTCGTTACGGACCTTGCCTTCGGCTCGGGCCGCAAACCTCTCGGGCCGCAAACAAAGACTTTTTAACCTCTTAGAAAAACTACTGTTTCACAATAGTATGCGGAAAATGGGTGTTTTTGGCACTGTAATTAGTGTGGAAAATCGATTTTCCCACATAGTGTGCAACAAATATGTGCGGCAATGGTTTTTTGGCACAGTGTGCGGAAAAGGTGTGAGGCAAAGGTTTTTGTCGCAAAGTGTGTGGAAAAAGTGTGTGGCAAAGAGTTTTGCCACACAGTGTACGGAAAAGATGTGTGGAAAAGGTTTTGCCACACACTGGAAAAAATTTTGCTACACACTGGAAATCAAAATATTATACCTATTTTGTACCTATTTTCCTCACACATTGCGAAAAAACGTGTACGCAACTTGTGCGGGACAATTTTCCGCACTCGTGTGATAGACTCGCACTCGTGGCCAGTGATGGTACGTAAATAACTATTTCGCAATAAGTGTGCAGAAAAAAGGTGTCTTCCGCACTGATGTTAGTGTGGAAAATCGATTAAAAAACCTTTGCGACACACCTTTTCCGCTTACTATGTGGGAAAATCGATTTTTCATACTAATATCAGTGCGGAAAACACCTATTTTCAGCACACTATTGTGAAAAACGTTTTTCTAACAGTAAGTTATGTCTACATAACTTAAATGATCAAGATAAGTTTTTTATAGTAGCTTTATCTAGAAGCATTTATGAGATAGCAAGAATACCTATTTAGTATTTAAGTCCTTTTTATATTTTTGAACATTGTGTAAGAAGTAAAACAGAAAAATTACATAAATACATGTCTGATACCTAAACTTATGAAAGATTTGGTTAAATCACTATGATTCTGATGTTGTTGTATGAAAGGAAAACACTTTATGATTGTCAATTGAACATGTATTATAATCAAAAAATAAATAATTACGGGTAAAATCTTTTACCAGTGAATTTAATTAATTTATTTTTTCCTGTCTTTCATAGTTATACAAAATAACTGTCTACATTTTTTGAGAAATAACGAATCCAATTGTTAAATTGTTAGAACTATTAGTATTAGATCATTTTACCCATAGGGTACTATGCCAGGCCTCGTAGGCCCAAAGTTAAGGGGCTCTTTTATCCATGGAGGTACTAAGCCAGGCCTTGTAGCCCCATAGGTATGAGACTATTTCTTGTCCTGTACCGACTCTGATCTTTTTATCGGGAAAAGGTGGGGGGTAACTTCCTCCTCATGGCATTATACTAACCCTGCCGTACACGTTGATAGAAACAATTTGCCTCATTTTAAAAATTGTGCTGCTATTGTTCTTACAGTAGTGATCCTCTCCTTTACCACACTTTTACCGCTGAGGTACAGTCATCGTTTCAACTTTCCATTAAATTTTTATGCCGAAAACATAAAATTTAAAAGCCTGAAGCAAATAATTGCTTGAATGTAAGCGCAAGAAAACTATATGCAACTTTTTCAATACAAAGACATTGGTCGTCAGTTTGAAGCCCTACATGCCAACTATATAATCCATTAATTTTAAGTTTTTATATTTTTTTTGTTTATAAAAGAGTCTTCTGTTGTACTCTTTATCCATTAAATATTAGCCAAGATTTGTTTATCATCTGTAGATGAACGTTTTTTATATTTCACGTTGCTATGAAAATTACTTCTAGTTGGTTTATGACACGTATTAATGTTTTTTCTAAATTTTTTAACAGCCCCACTTAATGGACTGCACTGGACCGAACAATCATGTAAAATTGTGTAATAGGCTAATGGATTGTTAGAAAAACTTTCATAAGGTTTCAATTCTAAACGTACATCTACTGAAGAATTTTTGAGCGATTCATTTTTGCTTAGAGCAGTTGATTACAACATGACCTGGTAGCCTCCCTACTCAATCGTCCAGACAGCTCATCTCTTGTAGCATTATATTAGCCTTACGTAGTGCTACTGCATATAAGCAGTAGCTTCACTACTGTAGGATATATGCATTGAAAGATACACTATGGTAAAGATGTTTAAATAAGCACGCACATTTATACATTATATCACAATCTACAGCTACAAGTGTTCATTATCAGCTTTACTTATGGAAGTATCACAGACGGCAGCAATAAACAATGAATTTCTGATACCATAAAAAAGTCAAATAAGTTTTATATTTAAAGTAGAACACAAAAAACATTTAAAAATCTCATGTACTCACTTTCTTCAAACAGTAATTTGAATCAAGATAAAAGTTATAAAAATGCATGTGTTCTACCAAAAAGTTTTCTTGCTACTAGACATTAGTAGTAGCTTTAATACTGCTCTAAGGTGTGTGTGTGTGCACTCGTGGGCTTGCAGTGAATGCTACACCACAGAAAAGCTGTTTGAATAAGTGTGTTCTCATACCTTACATTGTCAAGTACAGCTATAAATTCTTCTTTATGATCAGCTATACTTAAGAAAGTATTAGATAATGGATAGTGACAATGAATTTCGGATGCTATAAGAAGTCCATTAGCTTGTATGTCTTGAGTATTACACAATACACAGAGCTAAGTATCAAGCAATACACACAACTCCTTCCGTAACAGACTGAAATTTTCGAGCACTGCAGCTTATATTTATATCATCGTATCTTAATAAAGCATACAGATGCGTGTGCAGCAGTAGATACTAGGGGTCGGTGATAATGGTGACTTAAGTAATAGTAAGATTTTCTATTCAATAGATCTTAAAAAAGCAACGGTGTTTATAACAATTAGTCATGGCATCGCAGGTGAGAGAGCAGTCATGGTGCTGCAGCTCTAATACTAACTTCTTCAACTGGAATGGAGACAATGAGGTAGCGTACCTGGAGAAGATTATCAAGCTGAGTGCAAGGTTTCACCCATTTTCCCTCTCCTTTTTTCTTTCTCTTTCGCATTCTCTTTCTTTCTCTCTCTCTCTCCCTTTGTCTCTCTCACGTCTGTCCCTCTCTGTCTCTTTCTTTGTTCTCTCTCTTTCTCTCTCTCTCTCTCTCTCTCTCTCTATCTCTGTCCCTCTCACTCTTCTATTTTCTCCTCTCTCTCACTCTCTTTCTTACTCAAATAATCTTTTCTAAAATTTTTTATTTATTTTTTAAGACATCATAAATATTCAGTACCTTTAGTACGCCACCGCTTTGCTGTTAAAAGCCTTCAGGCAGATTGCTGAAGCAGATAATGACAATCTATAAAGATTGTTAGAGTTGACCAATTAATCGCTTAAAGCATTTAGTTTGATAGAAAGGCCTTCACATCATTATCCAAAGGGAATATGCAATTCTACCAAACTATCTGGGTTACTTTATTCTGCGTTCAAGACAAGTTGAGCAGTTTACTAAAAAAAAAACCAGAGGAGCACCATTTATCGAAGCAGCAGTGTAGTGAGAAAAACAGTGATAGTATCAAAAACAGTGTTGATAGTTCTAGTGTGCGGAATAGTAATAGTAAGCAAAAAAGTGCAGATGATCTAAGTGCATCATATAATGTTGATAGGAGAAATAGTGCAGATGATGGGAAAAATAGTGGAGATACTCCCAGTGTGCAATAAACAAGTTTACCACCAGCATTCAACAATCCTATAGCAACTAGTGTAAAAATATAATTAATCATGGACTTATCAATAAGACGCATTTCAACACTAAGGATTTTGAAGTTTTAAGATTAACTAACATAGACGATGATAGTTATGAAGTCTACAGCTCGTCATATTTTCAGTGGCTTATTTACAAAAAATCCAAAAAAGAACGAGATCATCATTATCTGACCAAAAAACTCAGAGGTGCTGCCTATGAAAGTTGCAACATCAACTACCAGGATTCAATATTCATACCATTGATATTAAAGAGCCTAACAGGCGATGACTCGCACTTCATTATCAAAAAGTTGGCCACAAGTGAACATTTTTAGAGAAGTGGCGTTTCGCAGTAAGTTAAATGATAGCGAAATTTTCGATGGAGTCTATGAGATTGCTCAAAATGTTTGAAAAACATTCAGCATTTAAACGCTGGGAAGTTATTTTAATCTGTTCTTGAAGATTGACGTTTTGCTCTTGGCACACATTTTTAAAAATTTTCGCCCAACTTGCATGGCTGCGTACGAGTCAGATCCTGCACATTATTACATCACGCTTGATCTGACGTAGAAAATTATGTTAAAACTCACTTAAATCAAAGTAGAGCTTCTCACTGATACAGACATGCTCCCATTCGTGGAGAAGGGAGTCAGAGGAGGTATTAGTTAATGCTGCAACTGATACGCTAAATCCATCAACTGTTACATAGGAAAAGATTATTATCTTAAGAAAGAAAATACATATCTTATGAAGTTAATCAAGTAGAGACCATTCCACTAACTTGACCATATTATAAAGTCAAACTTTCTCGATATACCAGATGATAACCAAAGGCGCACATTGAAAGTAGGTACGAAATGTCCAGTAGATATTCACAATGATTGGAATAATTTACCCCTCTGCTCACAACATATGGTTCCACCTGACTCTACACAGCAAAAGCTCATGACGATTTTGTATGATAAGGAGTGCTACGTCATATATTACAAGGCATGGAAGCAGTCAATTATATATGGACTAGTACCCAAGAAAAATCATAGAGTTCTACGTTTCTGACAAAGCCCATGGTTCAAACCGTACATAGATCTCAATATGAAGAAAAGTAAGCAGATAAATAATATGTTAAGAAGGTTGTTATTAAACTCATGATGAATGCCGTATACAATAAGATCATGGGAAAGGAACGCAAACGAGTAAGTTTTAAGCTACTGAACAAGTACTTTAGTGCGTAAACTAATTGCTTGGCCAAACTTTCATAGTCTATCAATCTTTGCCAAAAATCTTGCAAGTAATTAACTCGCATGCACTATGATTAGTGAAAGGAAACCAATTTAAATTGGTTTAAGTGTTCTTAATATATCAAAAACTCTTATATACGACTCTGACTTTTCATGTATGAGTCAGAATTTTGACTAACATAAGTTGCTGTACACCAACGCCAACAGCCTTTTGTATAAGAGTTGGGGTTGAAATTTATATATATATATATATTAAATATTAGCCAAGATTTGTTTATCATCTGTAGATGAACGTTTTTTATATTTCACGTTGCTATGAAAATTACTTCTAGTTGGTTTATGACACGTATTAATGTTTTTTCTAAATTTTTTAACAGCCCCACTTAATGGACTGCACTGGACCGAACAATCATGTAAAATTGTGTAATAGGCTAATGGATTGTTAGAAAAACTTTCATAAGGTTTCAATTCTAAACGTACATCTACTGAAGAATTTTTGAGCGATTCATTTTTGCTTAGAGCAGTTGATTACAACATGACCTGGTAGCCTCCCTACTCAATCGTCCAGACAGCTCATCTCTTGTAGCATTATATTAGCCTTACGTAGTGCTACTGCATATAAGCAGTAGCTTCACTACTGTAGGATATATGCATTGAAAGATACACTATGGTAAAGATGTTTAAATAAGCACGCACATTTATACATTATATCACAATCTACAGCTACAAGTGTTCATTATCAGCTTTACTTATGGAAGTATCACAGACGGCAGCAATAAACAATGAATTTCTGATACCATAAAAAAGTCAAATAAGTTTTATATTTAAAGTAGAACACAAAAAACATTTAAAAATCTCATGTACTCACTTTCTTCAAACAGTAATTTGAATCAAGATAAAAGTTATAAAAATGCATGTGTTCTACCAAAAAGTTTTCTTGCTACTAGACATTAGTAGTAGCTTTAATACTGCTCTAAGGTGTGTGTGTGTGCACTCGTGGGCTTGCAGTGAATGCTACACCACAGAAAAGCTGTTTGAATAAGTGTGTTCTCATACCTTACATTGTCAAGTACAGCTATAAATTCTTCTTTATGATCAGCTATACTTAAGAAAGTATTAGATAATGGATAGTGACAATGAATTTCGGATGCTATAAGAAGTCCATTAGCTTGTATGTCTTGAGTATTACACAATACACAGAGCTAAGTATCAAGCAATACACACAACTCCTTCCGTAACAGACTGAAATTTTCGAGCACTGCAGCTTATATTTATATCATCGTATCTTAATAAAGCATACAGATGCGTGTGCAGCAGTAGATACTAGGGGTCGGTGATAATGGTGACTTAAGTAATAGTAAGATTTTCTATTCAATAGATCTTAAAAAAGCAACGGTGTTTATAACAATTAGTCATGGCATCGCAGGTGAGAGAGCAGTCATGGTGCTGCAGCTCTAATACTAACTTC